CCACTGACCACCAATGTAAGGAGCATTCTTCCCACTGACCACCAATGTAAGGAGCATTCCTCTTACCACTAATATAAGGAACATTCTTCCCACTGACCACCAATGTAAGGAGCATTCTTCCCACTGACCACCAATGTAAGGAGCATTCTTCTTTCCACTGACCACCAATGTAAGGAGCATTCTTCTCACTGACCACCAATGCATGCACCATTCGTCCCACTGACCACCAATGCATGCACCATTCCTCTTACCACTAATATAAGGAGCAGTATTCTTTCCACTGACCACCAATGTAAGGACCATTCTAAGGAGCATTCTTCCCACTGACCATTTTGCTAATGTGTGGTGAGCTGTAGATATAGGAATCATTAAAATGGGTTAATTGAGATTATACAGTTATCTCAAGGGTTCCTCTGTGTAAAAAAAGGTTGAGGTTGGTGCTCTATAGTGCACATGGAATTCATTTTCATATGTTGGCAACCACATATGTTTTTACTAATAGGTGACATGGCCACATTTCAATGTTTCAGTATTATGAATATTTCCTGCCTCTCTCCATAGGCTCGCTTTGTGAACAGCACCTGGATGTTCGGGAAAGGCATGTGCCACGTGAGCCGCTTTGCACAGTACTGTTCCCTGCACGTCTCTGCTCTAACACTGACAGCAATCGCAGTGGACAGGCACCAGGTATAGTGTCAATGTACATGGTACATCAATGAATCCTCGCACCCAGTGAGATCAGTCATAGAATAAATGCATTGCACTGAACGTCATATGCTGGTCGATATCTTGCTAACCGAAATAACCTTTCAATAACCCTCATCCTGGTGTGCTTACCACCTGCTGCTACGGCCTATTCCACTTTGTTTCTTCTCTTGCTAGCTTGCCTTTTATTGTTTATTTCACATCTGGTGGATTCCTCACACTATAGGCTACTCAAACCAGAGTGCCACTATTCATTCACCGAGGAGAAGAACCATCTTAATGGAAGACACATAAAGGGAGTACATCAGTGGAACATAAACACTCATCCTAATATTGCTACATACAGCGAGAGGCCATTAAAGAACCAGTGAATGTGAAATCACGTTGTGTGATAGAAAAGATCTATGAATAGTCTACATAAAACATATATGAAGAAGTTCATCAAAGTGAAAGTTATTAAAGTTAAATTTATGTTCCTGGGAGAAGATACTTCTTAATGCTTAACTGCAAGATTGTGCGACAATCCCACTGAAGGATGTTTTACATGTCAGTGATGACTAATAATGTGAAACAAATAGACACTCCTCTTATTAATAGTGACATAGTTAACGTGTATGTCGAGACAATCATTTTTTGGGGGGGGAGGGGGTGAAATGTGGAAGGATGAAAACCCCTGTTGGGTTTCTGTTGCTATACAAGTTTTTATTTGCTCACACAGAGCATAGGAGATAGGACTTCTAATTTTGGACTACTTAAAGAAGAGCTCCTGGAAAAAAAAATGTTTTTAACCCTTGCTTTGCAAGGGTTAAGTGCTCATTCTCGTTCAGATGTGAAAATAAAAAAAAGTAATACTCACCCGATCCTTGGAGTCAGAAAGGTTGTTAGACCGGTCCTTCCAGCCTCTGTCCCCCACCGCTCCAGAGGTCTAAGGTCCTGTGAGTCATCACATCCAATACACTGTGTATTGGATGTTAGGACACCGGGAGACATATCATCTATGGAGCGGAGGAGTAGAGAGGCTGGAGGCTGCTGCTCTAACAGCCAGTCCGCTGCAAGGTTTGGGTGAATATAACTTTTGTTATTTTCGAAGCTAGAAGACAATGAGCACTTAACCCTTGCAGTGCAGGGGTAGCGCCACTGCAAGGGTTAAGACTTTTTTTAGAGTTCTTCTTTAAATCTATCTATCTATCTATCTATCTATCTATCTATCTATCTATCTATCTATCTATCTATCATATATCTAATATTATAACAGAATTTACAGACTTCTTGAGCACTTAAGCAATACCAAGTTTGAACAGTAGGAGGCACAGCAGTCCCTGTAGCCTATGAAAAGGCCTTGTGCAAGAACTATAACCAAATACATATTAATTTCTGGCATTCTAAAATGATGTAGCAATATCCCAGCTTACTGTGCTGATTCATACCTCTTGGGCTAAGGAAGTTTAAAAAGTAAAAGGTTGAAATAGAGGCAGTATACATAAATGTTATACTTGCAGGAAGATTTGTAGTTCTGGTGTGGTGTTGTAGGCACCCCTACTGGACATCACAGCCAGGCCAATGACCTAACTTTTCACCACTGCATTTAGGCCTCATTCACACGATAAAAAGCCGGCATGTACAGCTCTGCGCTCCGTGCACGGCTGTATCGGGCAGCTCCTGGGAAGGACAGGTGCTGTGTGTGACTAGTACGCAGCCCCGTCATTCTCTATGGGAGTACGCGTCCGTACACCGCCCTACGCTCACCCCAAGTGCAGGTCCATATGGGTGCTGGTGTCCCGGCTTGGACACAGACAGGATCTATCCTGTCAGTGTGCAAGTACGGACACCTGCACAGACGTGCAGGGCAGGTGAGCGTAGGGCAGCGTACGGCCGCATACTCCCATAGAGAAGGACAGTAGCTGCATACTAATCACACGCAGCACCTGTCCTTCCCGGGAGCTGACCGATACGGCCATGCACGGAGCGCGGAGCTGTACGTGCCGGCTTTTTCTCATGTGAATAAGGCCTTAAGCTATGCAGCTTGATCGCTGACCTGCCCCCATCCTGAGATTGGGCAATGAAGGAGAAGCAGCACGTTGATAAGGTCATCATTCTGCTCTAGTCCACCATAAGAATGTTCAGTGGCAGCAATAGAACTCTGATTGGCTCAGTGTGACGACACACAATTTCCAAGTATGAGTACTTTTGTGTAGGAGATTACAGGAGGTTAATATTTGGACCAGATTTATGTATTTCTGCTTGTTTTATATACGATTCCTATTGAACACAGCAATGGATTAACCAGTTTTTAAAGTACAACTGTACTTAATAAGCCCCTTATAAAAGAAACCTCCTCATGGTGTGGTAGGTATACATTTTATAAACCCTTGACGGACAGGACATTGCCGGGAGAGATACCAGGGATGTGGACCCTCCGATCTGTCTACACTGCTTTACTACCACAACAGTGGGGTGAGTGCACACTCCAGAGGGGGCATTCGTGGACACTTGAAGCACAGTGGTGTGGGAAGAATTTATCCAACACTTTGTTGAAACATTTGTTTGAAGTTTTTTTATCAAACTCACTTTGAATTATATCACCAATATTGCACTTGGTTTTATATTAGATGGACTACCATCTAGGACTGGTTTAAAATTCAATTGTTCTGGCTGGCATACAGACATTTGGAGTTATTGAACATTATTTATGCACTTTTGAAATCATCACTATCAGGGTGACAAAAGAGTGAATTTATTGTTTACACTAAGGCCTTATAGAGCCTATCACAAACTGTTTGAACACTTTTGTTCAGTTGATCTTTGCACTATAACACTTTATATTTATATTTATATATTTTTTGTGATATTGATTACACTTGATTTTAAGGATTTTTTATCTTAAATATCACCTTTTAGCGCTGCACATTTAACACTTCATTAGTTTGACCCTAGGGTTCATAGCGCAGCAGCTTTTATACTGTATCTACCCACAAGCGCAGATTTTACATTTTTCTATAAAATAAAACTATTTATAGTACAGGTATCCTTAAAGCTGAACTCCAGGCAGATAGAAAAGACACAAATTAATGCAGCTCTGTAATCATTAATACATTGTTAAATCAGCTGTGTTGACAAGAAACATGCTGATAGGAGGACAAAGCAGAGGGATATAAAGATATTCTAATTACTATGCTGCTCCTCCTTTCACTGTCCATTTACAGGATAGGGGTGGGTCGTGGGTCTAGGATGACATGGGTTCACATGAAGTGAGTTGAATTATGCTGCCTACCAGACTGGGGACATACGGTATAATGGGAATAAAGTACTTTGGTAAAGAATCTCTGGATTTACGATGAAAAAACTGATTTAGTTGTTTTAACTTTTAGTGAGTTTGTCATTTTTATCTTGTTATTTTTGTTTCAAATTTTTATTTTCCAAGTCCAACTCCAGGCGAAACTTTTTTTAGTTTTAGATAAATGGGATAAAATGTTATTTGCGTGAAACACAAGCAGGCTTGTGCAGCTCTTCTTCAGAACTTGAAGGGCTTTTTCATGGTGTGGTGTTTTTATTTACTATTTACTTTACTATTTGGTGAATAAGAAGGGTGAACAACTACCCCTAACATGGGCTAGAATGTCAGTTAGGTTTTTGCAGTTGATTGAGGGAGTCTACCCCTCAGGAAGGGATTTCCCTTCACTTCCTATGAGTCTACCCAGAGAGAGAGATTCCCATTACTTCCTATCTCCCTGTCACTGGGAGGGGGTGCTTAGTTTAGTGTTAGACACATCTTTCAGATTGGTAACATTTTCTTTCTGCATGCTAATTGCTGATATCTATCCTTCATTATTTTCCAAGTGACACCCTAAGTTGAACAGGTTGCCACCATGACAGGAAGTGAAGGAAAATTCTCCTTGATGGGGTAGATAGTCGACATAGATTACTAGACATAGATCACTAGACATAGATTAGTAGACATAGATTATACCAGACATACAACGTAGATTAGTAGACATAGATTACTAGACAGATTACTAGACATACAACATAGATTAGTAGACATAGATCACTAGACAAAGATTAGTAGACATAGATTGTACCAGACATACAACGTGGATTAGTAGACATAGATTACTAGACATACAACATGGATTAGTAGACATAGATCACTAGACAAAGATTAGTAGACATAGATTGTACCAGACATACAACGTGGATTAGTAGACATAGATTACTAGACATACAACATGGATTAGTAGACATAGATTACTAGACATACAACGTAAATCACTAGACATAGATTACTAGACATACAACGTAGATCACTAGACATACAACGTAAATCACTAGACATAGATCACTAGACATACAACGTAGATTAGTAGACATAGATTACTAGACTTACAACGTAAATCACTAGACATAGATTACTAGACTTACAATGTAAATCACTAGACATAGATCACTAGACATACAACGTAGATTAGTAGACATAGATTACTAGACATACAACCTAGATCACTAGACATAGATTACTAGACATGCAACGTAGATTAGTAGACATAGATTACTAGACATACAACGTAGATTAATAGACATACAACATAAATCACTAGACATAGATTACTAGACATACAATGTAGATTAGTAGACATAGATTACTAGACATACAATGTAGATTAGTAGGCATAGATTACTAGACATACAATGTAGATTAGTAGACATAGATTACTAGACATACAACGTAGATTAGTAGACATAGATTACTAGACATACAACGTAGATCACTAGACATAGATTACTAGACATACAATGTAGATCGCTAGACATAGATCACTAGACATAAAACGTAGATTAGTAGACATAGATTACTAGACATACAACGTAAATCACTAGACATAGATTACTAGACATACAATGTAGATTAGTAGACATAGATTACTAGACATACAACGTAGATTAGTAGACATAGATTACTAGACATACAACGTAGATCACTAGACATAGATCACTAGACATAGATCACTAGACATACAACATAAATCACAAGACATAGATTACTAGACATGCAACATAGATTATTAGACATATTTTACTAGACATGCAAGGTAGATTATTAGACATAGATTACTAGACATACAACCTAGATCACTAGACATAGTAAAAACAACCTGACATAAGTTCTAACCTATCCTACTCTGGTCAAAACCAAAAACATCTGTATGCAGTTGACTTCTAAACAGGTTCTCTTTGTCAATCTCCAGGTTATCATGCATCCGTTAAAGCCTCGGATATCAACTGTTAGAGGGGTGGCTTATATTGCCATCATCTGGATAATGGCGTCCTGTTTCTCTCTGCCTCATGCCATTTACCAAACACTCTTCACCTTTGAATACAGGTAAGCCTGTTCATCCAGATACTTCAGATTGAGCCTTGACCTCTTCTCCAAGCCTTCTCCTTCCCAATGTGTACTATGAGATTTGACATATTAGATTAAAATGGCATTCTAAGAGAGCAGAATGAGAAATGAGAGAAGCTGACCATTGGTGACTGACACTGACACATATTCCGATCTGTCCTACATCCTATATCAGAAAAAGTCCCTCTCAACTTCACTACTTGGCAAGATCAATAAGTATCATGTTTTCTATCACTGTTCCTTCCATCAACACACATGGTCATATTCTCATGTAACAGAGGTTCATTGCTTATTTTAAAGAGGCTCACTTATTTTTTTCTCATTCTTTGCAATATATCAGGATTATACATCAAGTCTTGGGTAGTGGGAATCATAATATTAGATAACCAATGTTCATGGCAAGTCTCAGTCTTGGGTGTTAGAAAAGAATAATATTAAATGACCAATGTTCCTGGAAAATCTAAGTCTTAGGTACTGGAAATCATAATATTAGATGAGCAATGTTCCTGGCAAGTGTAAGTCTTGGGTACTGGGTATCATGATATTAGATGACCAATGTTCACAGTAGTATATGCCTTGATTACTGGGAAGCATAATATTAAATCACCAATGTTCACGGCAAGTGTAAGTCTTGGGTACTGGGAAGCATAACATTAGGTGACTAATGTTCACGGCAAGTATAAGTCTCAGGGACCGGGAAGCATATTAGGTAACCAATGTTCCCAGCAAGTATAACTCTTGGGTACTGGGAAGCATCATATTAGATAACCAATGTTAACAGCAAGTATAAATCTTGGGTACTGGGTAGCATAACATTAAATGACCAATGTGCACAGCAAGTATAACTCTTGGGCACTGGTAAGCATAAAATTAGATGACAAATGTTCATAGCAAGTATAAATCTTTGGTACTGGGAAGCATAATATTAGATGACCAAAGTTCACAGCAGAATTTCTTAACCATTTTTCATGCATGGCGCCCTTTAAAGTATGAACATTTTTCAGGCACCCCAACCTCTAATGTAAATGTAAAAAAATTCCATGTGACTCCCCCTAAATCTATAACAAACCATTATCCTAGATAGGGGTCTGGTATGGACTTTAAGAGGGAACCCCATACCAAAAAACTAACAAAAAAATAATGTGGAGATCTCCCCCTTTACATCAGAGCCCCCCCCCCCCTTCATTGCAGAGGTTCCCCATTACATCAGGAGCCCCCTTTACATCAGGAGCTCCCTTCACATCAGGAGCCTCTTATCACATCAGGAGCCCCTTTCACCTCAGAGTCCCCCTTTACATTAGAGCCTCCCTTTCACATCACTGTTCCCACTACACATCAGAGCACCCTTCACATTAGGAGCTCCCTTTACATCAAAACCGCTCCTTCACATTAGAGCCATCAGTCCTCCCTTCAGATTAGAGGCCTTTTAGAGGCCTTAGTCCCCCCTTCACATCCAAGTCCTCCTTTCCTCTTTTAAATGCTGGGGGAGGTCCTGGATGCAGCCTGACCTGGATCAGCATTGTGCATTTCTGTTGTGCTGGTGGCTGACCTGTCTGCACAATGAAAACACAGTATGCTATGTGAAAATTTGAAGGCAGCCCTGGCTAAAACAGGCTTATTATATGTCTTTGCTATAGATTTTTGGGTGACAGATTCACCATAAATTCAGGGATGCTTCTGCAGCACCCATCTTTATGCATTATAACGTTGGCAGCAATTAATATTGTCACTTTAAATATACAGAAATCCAATGGTCTGGCAAATGTTGGATGTTTTCCAGCTTTTAATACAATGTTATGTTCTTTCTTTGCATCGGCATCAGGGGTGAGCTGAGTGAGCAGCAGCGGTAACAGCATTTGGGATATGCCAGTCTCGCCTGAGTCTCTGCCATACTTGCTCCTGTTGTCTTTCAACACTCCTCACCTACACCAGAACACAACATTGGGTTTCCATCACTAGTAACAATGAAATAAAAAAATGACCACTACTGCTCACTCAGCTCACCCCTGGATGGACTTTTCAGATGCTAAAGGCTTATGCACAAGAGTGCCTGGGGTCGTACAATGTAAAATTGGGGGGTATTTGCCCACCCTGGAGCCACAGGTGCTACATGCAGCTGCTTATTGCTGGAATTTATCAGGCCTACTTCTTTAGTTTGCATGGATCTGAGTGCTTGGACCTACCACCCAATGCTAACAGCAGCATATATGTGATACTTTAGATCCTTTACTCTACTCTACAATTAAGTTATGTATAACTCAAATTTGTGGGGTATTTCCGGCCCGGGAGTCGCAGGTGCTGCATATGGCAGCTCATAGCTGGAATTTATCAAGCCTACTTCTTTAGTTCACATGGATTTACTTAGTGCTAGGATCCATAACCCAATGCCAAAAGCAACATATATGTGATACTTTAGATCAGGGGTAGCAAACCTCTGGCCCTCCAGCTGTGGTGGAACTACAAATCCCAGAGGCATTGCAAGATTCTCACAGCCACAGGCATGCAAACAGAGATGCATTAAGGGATTTGTAGTTTCATTTCATTTTTATCCAATTGAGTTTACTAGAGCAATTTTCTGCTCCAAGATCTTTTTTTTTTCCAGCTAGGGGCACAGAACACATGCATTTTATTTTTTATTTGTCTTTGTTTTTACTTTTTCAACCTTCCCTACGTTGCAAACTCTTGAAAATTCCTTTTGCACTAAGTGTTACAGTATTAAAAGGCTGTCAATAAATGGCTTGGTCAATTCCTATGACCATGGAATAATACATCACTTGATTATAGAGTACATTGGTACTAAAGTATCATATATGCTGATTTTAGCATTATGTAGTGGGTGCTAGTACATCGGTATATCCGTGAGAAGTACAGCAGTAGGCTTGATAGCATCCCACTATGAGCAGACCTTTTACATTACTTGATTATTGAGTGGAGTGAAGCATCTAAAGTATCTCATATATTCTGCTTTCCGTATTCAGTAATGGGTTCTAGCACTCAGTAGATCCATGTGAGGTGGTAGAGCAGATACTAACGCACCCTCATCTAGCCTAATTTCTATATGATGGTGTGATTATATTAAATTTGGTTTGCTAAGAAAGCCCATGATCATTATTGCTATTGGTATGAGCACGTGTATTCAAGTGCAAAAAAGCCTACCTATGGGATTCTACATACCTTTTAGATAATGAAAGCTTTTAACATTGAGGCTCATTAAAATATATGCAATTAGATCACTGGGAGCATAGCATCACTTACTTCTGATGACTTGACAAGTTGCAATCCTGTATATATTGGCTTTATAAAGCAGCTTCAATAGGGTCTTAATCATCAAGCACGTGGAAAAGAGGCTTCCCAAGCATCAACATCACAAAGGATAATATTGTTTAAGAGGCCACTTTAGGATATCTCAAGTGTTATTGCAGCTTCCTGAATCAATCCCCTAGTTAAAATATAGGAATTTAAAGCATATGCTTCTTGTTGTGATCACATAGTTCGGATTTAAAGCCTATGTCAACTCTTTGAATAAAAAGACAACTATTAGAGGGTATTAGCCTATGTATATGTGAAATGCTCCTTGAAAATGTTAAAATTGCTGCAAAGTATAAATTAATTTTGATCTAGAAGTGAAGTGACCACAGGCCTCCATTCTAATGCCTCTTCTGAAGGGTGGGGGGCATCCATGTATTGGCTGACGAATGACAAATAGGGACATGTGAGGACAACAGCAAATCTGGTCTTGATAGCTGGGTGTTTCCTTTTCTTTCCTATGGAATTCATGCTCTTGTTACTGGGAGCCAATGTGAATCAATTGATCAGGAATTGGTGGGGTGTGGGGCTGACAATGGGACTACAGGCACACTGGTTGCAAGATGCAAGGATGCAAACTGAACTGCTTACATTGTTAGCCTGGTCAGAAACCTACAACATGCAACGTAACTGGCAGAATTACCTGGTATTTAAAGTTCTTAAATACACTGCCTGTCCAAAAAAAAGTCACCACCTGGATTTAGATAAGCAAATAGGTCTAGGTTCACCAACATTATGTTCCCCAATAAATTAGGTGAGCTGCCTACCTGAATCTTTGGGATGTGCTGGAGAAGACTTTACACAGAGGTCCGACTCTCCCATCATCACTATAAGATCTTGGTGAAAAATTAATACAACTCTGGATGGAAATCAATGTTGTGACATTGTATAAGCTTATGGAAACGATGCCACAGTAAATGCATGCCGTAATCAAAGCTAAAGGCAGTCCAATGAAATGGTAAAGGGTGGGACTTTTTTTTGGGACAGGCAGTGTATATTCCTTATAAGTATAGGAAACATTATTGGATTATGAGGGACAAAGGAAAGTAGCCCAATAGTTTCATAATTATAATTTACAAATGCAACATATGTTATTTACAACAAATTGCTGTATATTAAAGACAGAGGATAGTAAAGGAGCAGGGAGAGTAGTCTCGGTGATTAGCCACTTACCATAAAGGGAACCTGTATTTGATAAAAGGGGAGTTGTCAAAGCTACAGTATCTTGTTTTTAAAGGTACATGTTCCAAAACTGCCATAGTTACATGTGCTTCTTTGCTTATTGAGTCACTAACCATGGAACATGCATGCCCAGCCAGAGGGCAAAGAACTAGTCACCAGTATTGCCTGTGGTCTCCCTGTAGCTCCCGGCCCCCGCCGACTGGTGTTCTGGTAACTGAATAATCAAAGAGTAGCAGCAGGAGAGGGTGGGAAAGCACAGATTCACAGAATGAAGCATAAGCAGGGAGAGGAAGTCACTGCACTTTTCTTACCAGCAAGGAGAACAGTGAGCAGCACAGTAATGACCTCACCAATCTCCTAGAAATAGCAGTCAGAGGCTGCAGTGCCTTAAAACTCCCACCAGAGGATCAGGAAGGAAACTGCAAATTTTACTTGGAATTTAAGAAAAAACTGGTACATTTTTCGGAGTTCTGCAAAGGCACAATTAAAATGTCTAGATATCCACTATTAAATAGGTTATCTTCACTTTTTGACCACTTTAAGTGAAAAAAATCTGACTTTTTGGGTAGTTTACATTTAAGTGCAATTTACATTTCTATATGTAATTGTTTTCCTCAATAATACAATAACTTTTTTTTACATTGTAAATAAGCTTTTCTCTTTAGGGTTCACTGTAAAAAAAAAATAGCCTTTGTAGCTGTACAGGTACTCTTTAACATCTTCCATTTTTTGCAGTGAGGAAGATATCAGAAGTTTATGTCTCCCTGAATTCCCTGAACCGTCTGAGCTGTTCTGGAAATACCTGGACCTGGCCACCTTCATCCTACTCTACGTTCTCCCACTGCTGATCATCTCCGTGGCCTACACCACAGTGGCAAAAAAGCTGTGGCTTCGGAATGCCATAGGCGATGTGACTACCGAACAGTATTTTGCTCTCCGCAGGAAAAAGAAGAAGACCATTAAGATGCTGATGCTGGTAGTTGTCCTCTTTGCTGTGTGCTGGTTCCCACTAAACTGTTACGTTGTCCTCCTCTCCAGCCAAATCATTCGCACTAACAATGCCCTTTATTTTGCATTTCACTGGTTTGCTATGAGCAGCACCTGCTACAACCCATTTATATACTGTTGGCTTAATGACAACTTCCGATCGGAGTTGAAAGCGTTGCTTAACATGTGCAAAAAACAGACCAGCCAGCGGGAGGACATGCTTCCTACTAACATTCCTTCATATAGGGTGGCTTGGCCTGAAAACCGAAGCTTCAAGAGGTCGCTAGTCTCTCACACCCTTCCATCGTCCTCTAACATCCAGTCTGGAAAGACGGACATCTCAGCAGTGGAGCCCATTGTGTCAGTTGGGTGATCATAAATGGTCTTCAAAAGGGCCAAGATGTCTTTCTCCAAGGTGAAGGACCATCTATTATACTTACTTGAGCTGTCAGCCGACTCGTTGGTGTTCAGAAAACAGAACTTTCCCATAAATATGGCATTAGTGTTTATGAATGTATTCCATGGCAGGATGTTTGCAGGGTCTGTTATGGATCCTGTTGTGTATATTGGCTTATCATACAAGCTCTACTAAAGTTAAAAGCTAGGAATATCTGTCAATCCATCAGTCCATTGTTTAGTGCTCAGCTCAACAGATAGGTTCCTTCCACCAATATGGGATTGCTTTAACTGAATGTTCCACAGTGGAACTTATGGAAATAAGGTTAGGTATTCTGAGACCTGACTTTTACTGAAATTGCGGGAGATCTGCCTGTACCGTATATTTTCCGCAGCCTAAGGTAAACTCTGCTGCTTAATGTAATCACTTTGTAAACAGTGTATTTGCTTAATGTATACTGTAGTTTTGCTGTTTTGCGCTGGAAAAATCTTTTGTATAATGTCATGTGTAAATGAGGAAAAAATCATTAAAATCGAGACATTGACAAGGAAAGAGGCTGTTTATAAATAAAGTGACCCACTTCATTGAGCAGGCTTTGGCTGACATTTACTGGCAGTTCTAATCTTGGGCAAGATAAACAAATGATGGATGGAAATGAACCAACTGAAGCTAAACAAAATCCTTTCTTGAGCTCGTCTTTATGTATGTAATGCTGTCACAATAGAGATCAAGTTAGCCTACATTCTACAGGAACTTACTTTTAAAGCTCCTAAGCTGCAGTAAACCTAATGGTGACTCCTTGGCTTTGCATGGGTTAAATTCTACCTTCAGGCACGACAAAGCCTCCTCCCATCGCACCAGGGACGTGCCTTCAGGGGAGGCAGTTGAGGCAGAGCCTCACCTAGAATTATGGAGGAAAAAAGCTGTCAGCTTCATGTCTGAAGTTGACAGTTTTTTCTCCATTCAGATCGGCATCTAGCAGGTTACACAGCAGGGAAATCCTCCCCGCTGTGTAACCTGTCACGGAGCCTCAGCGGTGAGGAGCAAGTAAGGGACAGGGAGGCTCCTCCCTGTCTCATCCCTTCCTCCTTTACACTAGCTTGGGGACGGTTGGTTGACCATAGATTTATTTTGCCTGGAGTTCAGCTTTAAAGAATCTAGGTCCTAAACATCCCCCTTCTCTACGAGAGGCCCCTCAGCTGTATTTTATGCTTTTTTTTATGCCTACCTTTTCCAGATGTCTTCATTTTGGTCACATGACACCACGGGACCTCTTTCTCGTCCTTGACAGTGTGCAGCCCCTAGGAAGTCAAAGAGTGGAGCTTATGTAATGACATCAGTGCCACTCTCTGCATTAATGTATGTGAGTGCAGGGTGGTGATACCACCTCAGGGGGTGTGTTCAGGAAACCCTGCACTCACACAATGTCCTCAGTCTTCAGACTGGGGACATCTACTGAAGGAAATTAACTACTGCTGGGGAAAGCGCTGGAGAGGAAGTGAGTAATGTAACCAGAGCTGCTTGTTTGTTTTTACAAACTGCTAAGTTGGGCCAGATTTGGGCTTAATATAGCGTCCTTTGTCCTAATTAATTTTTTATTTTTGTTATTTGATTGTTGTTTGTGTACTGATGTTTTTTAATTTTGTTTTACCTGTTTTCACTGTTTGCCTTTTCTTCCTTTCTATAACAAAATAAAATATTGAGGCTAATGAGGTTTTTTTTTTGGCCTGTGAACAGGTTCAGGATATTTAAAAGGAGCCATTAAAAGCTCATTGCACCCCTAAAAACACCTTAATTTTGCCCATTGACTACCATACGTTTTGCTTAAAAGGCATATACTGATTTTCATCAAAATTTCAGAGAAGAGGAAACTCTCAATTTTGTTTATAACTAGCCCCAATCACATAAGAATGTTTGAACAGTTTATGAGCAAAACAATATAACTGGAGGGGAAAGGAGGTGAGGGTCACAAAGGACAGGTAATTTAACTTCTAAGAAGGCAGCTGGCTGTGACAATCTTTTGGGCCAAAGACGAGTCCCATAAACATTCAGGGTGAAGCTCTCCCATAACGCTCCAGAACAGGAGTGAGCAAACTCCAGCCCTCCGGCCAGCAGTGTATTTACAAATGCTGCTGCCCTAGGCAAAACAAGCAAACGCCTTGTTTGCCTCGCGGCAGATACGCCCCTGCCCCTGGCTGTGGTGAAGCTACAAATCCCATCATGCATCTGCTTCTGGGAGTCATCCTGTGGCTGTCAGAGTCTTGCAATGCTTCATGGGATTTGTAGTTGCACCACAGCTGGAGTGCCCGAGTTTGCCCACCACTGCTCTAGAAGCTTCAGGATCTCTAATACATATCAGTTTGTCAGCTTAGAGCTGAACTCTGCAATAAGCAAATATTATCTTAATAAAAGAGTCCTGTGTATTCTTACTTTTGTCTTGGAGTACTTTGTGTATTTCTTCCAGATCTGTGCAGTAATCCAGTGAGACCTGGAGCTTCTTGTAATAAAGACCAGTCACTGCTGCTCTCTCTCCTTATCTGGTGTGACTGGTCTTGTCTACGCCCCCTCCTGTAATAAAGACCGGTCACTGCTGCTCTCTCTCCTTGTGCAGGGTGACTGGTCTTGTCTCCGCCCCCTCCTGTAGTTTTCTGCAGTTAGCCTGTAATAAGGGGAATTGTTGGGTCCCTCCCACAGCTTTGCTTAGACTATGTACAGCACAGTGATGATGTCAGTGGTATTTGTACAAGGTACTCCCTCGGTAAACAAAGGCATTACATGCTCAAAAAGTTGATTTCTACCCGGTGGTTATTGAGGATTATATTTCAATAAAGATTTTTGTGTTTGGAGTTTTGCTTTAATCCTCTGTAACAAGCATAACAGTGATTGCCTCCGGGCTTAGAAATATTTAAGATGTAATCCCTCTGGCATAGACTGGAACATATTAACTAGGGATGCACCGATACCAAGTACCGTACTCAGTACAAGTACAGATACTTTTCCAGCTCCAGGACTAGACTAGAGAAACATTCAAAAGTTAGGAGGCAGCTGTCATTAGTAATGAGCACACAGAGCTCCTGGGATTTGTACATCTCTGTTTTAATGTATGATTTTGTTTTTATAAACATATATATTGCTTTCTGTTAGTAACAAAGCTTGATAGAGAAGTAACCAACACACCTATCACACTTTCTATCAAGCTTTGTTACCAACGGTGCCATCCTTGGTCACTACAAGCACCCAATCATATCTTAAGGGGGGATATCCAGTAAGGAGTGCAGCAAGTCAACTCTTCATTGTTCTTTATTGCTTTCGGTGTCCAATGCTTGCTTTTTGTATTAGTAACCATAGTAAATCACTGATGTGAATAGTAGCTCATGCATAAAACATGCATGCACCATACAACTAAGAGGGAGTCAAACTTGGTAAAGCATTAATTGGAGAAGCATTTGGGGGTTCTGGTAGATCAACCTAATAAAAACACGCAGAGCTGACCTAAAGCTACTGGAAAGAGCAAGATACATTTTCGTATTAGAAGAAATAGACTGAAGAGTGAGAACTTATCTTAATTATGCAGTCCATTTTTTAGCACAAGTCCAGTGTGTGTTATATAACTAGAATGATCACAGAGACTGGGAACTAAACTAATGAAAGCACTGGAGAGCCTCAGCTTTGAGGAACCGCTAGTCCGACTGAATTTATCACCCCTAAGAAGGGTAGATTTCTTGGATAAGAACAAGGTCCATATCACAAAAAAACATAGTTGGCAGTTGTTTACTGTAAATGAAAGCACATCTTCACCCATCTTTATATTAAATCCCTACTCCCACCTCCTTTTTTTTAAATAGAAAATGTAGATAGTTTTTACTTTGCAAATATCTTTATCCCCCACATCCTGTTTTTCTTACCTAGGAAATGACATGGTTCTACTGCCCGCACCCTCCTGGGATACTAACATACCACACATTGGTGTCCCTAGCCTTTTTGCCGCCTGAGGAATCGGGGGAATGTTGGGACGCTCTGGCTGGCATCCCGTCCAGCTCCTGGCAACCCGTGATGTCACTGGTTGGCAGGAGCTGTGAGGGATGACAGCCAGAGTTGCTAAGAGCTGTGTGGGGAGATGTTTATAACCCTTACACATCTCCCTGCCAAACTCTTAGCAACCTGGCATACTGTGGCCAGAAAGGGGGTGGCATTGTACAGCAGAGTGGCCACTATACAGCAAACATTCCGCTCTGCCTGTCGCCCCCACCACGGGACCCAAAGAGATGCCGCCTTTGGCAACAGCCTCAGGCTGCCTCATTAAAGAGACAGCTCTGGTCACACATCCCAGGATGCTTTAGGGCCATCTACCACCCACTGCACATGCGCCGTGACATGTTATCAAGGGGACGCAAAAACTCCGGAAAGGCAGCCATCTCCCAATGGCATCGCAAAGGAAGATGACACAGTGGGACCTGGCATGCAGTGGCAGGCTACATCAGACAACGTTGGATTAGCTGGGCATATGAGTATGTTCATTTGTGGACAACCAAGCGGACAAGATAAAAGAGACCCCCCTCTCCAGATAGGTGACACCCGTGTCCATTCAGTTTTTTCCCTTCATACAGTATGTTAGGTCTATGGGCAGTCAGATGTAGCAGAAATGCATCCTTTTAGATCCAATTACCTCCAATCCATAACGGAGGTCCACCAATAATACAGTCTACAGCTACATATGTCAATAGAAGATAACAGTGTTCTAACAGTGAGTTATGGAATTTGGTGATTAAAAAGGATTTTTTTTCTGTTGGATCAAACCACGTCATGCTTTAAAACGATTATTTTGCTTTGTTCTGGATCAACTTAAAGTTTAGGGTTCTGAGGATAAAAATTTTGAATTTTGTTTATTTTTAGGCAGTTGAGAAGTCTCACTTTTCGCAGATCGATGAGATGCCCATTGCAGAGTTCAACAAGAAGAAAAAAACACAGCCCTCTCCCAGGGATGCAGGGTGTGGATGCGAATGGTGTGGATTGCTGCTCAAAAAAAAGGAGGAGGACCCTGTGAACATAATAATGAGGCACTAAGAGCGCAAATCCGAAAATATAAATGGCGTGATTTGAATGAAAAATTATTTTCAGAAAGTGAAGAACTTACTTGTGGTGTCAGAAGTCCGGGCGCGGTGGCGATTC